TGTGTGTGTGCGTGCTCACATGTGTGTTCAGTGTTCTGCGCCTGCTGTATCCAGTGACGTTGTCACACCTCTCTTGGTGTCCTGCTGTGTTTCCCGCGGCGTCCTGAGGTCCTGGATGCTGTCTCAGTATCGCTGCTGAGGATGGTGGGCGTCTGGCACAGATAACTCTCTGATAGCGCACTGATGGACAGCAGGGAAACTTTTTCCTTTACTCTCCTTTCCCCATCCCCCTCTGAACGCTATGACAACCTGCTGTAAATGGAGCTCAGAGGTGTGTGTGTGTGTGTGCACTTACACTTATGATTGCAGGATTAGGTGGGGGTGGGCTTTATTTGATAGTACATTATAAATTGAAATCATGCCTTGAAAAAAAAACCTTGAAATTAAGAAAAACAGTCTCCCTGAAACACGAAACAGCGGGATAATAAAAAATAAAAAACGGCCATACATAAAACAAAGATCTTTTAATAAGAAATGCGAATTAATTTTCCTTTTTATTCCTCTTTCTTTTTCCTTTGTATTAGCAGTTTTCTTCCTTTCTCAATTACGAAAAAAACTGCTGCTTAACTTGCTAGTAGGTTTTCAGTGGTTGTTTGGTTATTCACAAATGTCATTGGCATCCTTTTTTTCTCCCCTTGTGGTGGCCTGTGGGGGAAAGGCTAATATCTTGTGTGTCAATTCGCAGCAGGAAACTTTTAGATCTATATAAGGTTACACAGAACTTATTTTCTAAGAGAGAAAAGAAATCCATTATTTATGAACATATTCCCAGTCCATGGCTAATTGTTTATTTTCTTCACAATTGCTTTGATGTAACCAGCTAGACACTTACAGTATAGAAGTCTGTCGAAAGCTGAATATTTTCTATTACACTCTTTAATGTATGATTATTATGTGTCATTCCAATAAAAGTTTATTTTAGTTCACTGTTTCCCACATGAGTAAATGTAATAGATATGCTCTGTCCTGCTCTAAAAGGTGTCAGTATGATTTTATGTTCAAACATTTGTAGTTTCCTTTCCCTGCCACAAGACTATTGTCTTTTATCTACATTGTGGTAGGAACCCATTAACTTCCTTTGGTTGTGCTTGTAAATCAAAATAGAGAAATCACTCGCCTGGCACTGAGAAAAATAACGGAAACTGCTTTTTGAGTGAGCTGGGCGGAAGGCGCTGTGTTCTCCACGGGTCTTTCTGTAATTAAGCGGGCTGTACATTCCTCAGTTAACATTACGTCTGAAGCTGCCTGATCAGCACTCTGCAGTATTTAGAGAAGTTTAGGGTGGGAGCGGACGCCCTGGCCGCAGAAGAAATCAAACAGTCGTAACATTTGTTTAAACTATAAAAAGAAAATGGCCCCCTGTAATTAGATTAGAGAAACATAAAACATAAAAAGAAAGCAGAGTTGTGTTTATGCAATCTGCCAATCAAACGTCTATACAATACTCTGGAGCTGGGCTATTGGATAGTTAGGGGAACAATAGAAGTCATCCCAATGTGGTTTTACAATAGTTTGTTCTTGTTTTGGATCCCAGCAAACAGTATTGAAAAGAGGATAATTATGCATCACTGTTTCTCCCATGCCAGTGATGCTATTTCATTTGCTAAATATGTCTTTTATATCAATTTCAGTTTCAGTCAATGCATTAGCCTGTGATGATAAGGAACATTAACAGGAAATGAGCATTGTAAGATAGTGATTTGAAGACATGTTGTCAACACAAATAATTTTTGAAATGTTTTTTAATACATCACATTGTAGAAATCATGGCATCATAGTTGAACTGGACAAAGTATTGTTATAACAAATCATTTAGTAACAACTTTTCGTTTGTTACCTCTCAGGTAGGATCGGCTCTTTACACCAGCTCCACCTGTCTAGACTTAACGTTCCCAGCTGGCAGGCTATAGGGGAATGGCCTCTTCACTGAGGCTTTACACAGAGCCATGTCGTTCAAATGCCAGGGTGCCCAGTGGCGGGATCTGTAGCTCTGTTCTGGATATCAGCTTTCATAGGATCAAAGCACTGGCAGCGATATCCTCCCCCTCATCAGCCGAGCAGCAGTGCAAAGACCCAAGGGATACGATCGGCGGAGGAGAGGGGAGTGAAGGGAGAGAGAGACAGACAGACAGACAGATAGACACGGAAGAGAGAGAGAGAGAGAGAGAGAGAGAGAGGAGGGTGAAGGAGGCTGGTGAGGAGGGGGGGATGGTTTAAGGGATAGGGAGATGAGAGCTAGGTTAAGGGCCTGCAGGGCTGGGGAGTGGGTGAGAAAAGACTTGGAGGATGAAGAAAAGGGTTGTTAGAGATGTTTGAAGACAGCGGGGGAAGTGCTGATGGGAGAGCGATGCAAGCAAAGGGGGAAGGGATAAGAGGGCCGGGCGATGTGTGTGTAAACGAGACAGATTCACCAGTCTCATCAACATATAGGGCCTGGGTCTGCAGATGGAGCCCTAACAGCTGAGTTCCCCCCCCGCACAACGGCATCTGTGCGTTTCCATCCCTCCGTTTGCCTCACCTTCCTTCAGCACCCCTTACGCCCATGAGTCTATTTACTCACCCGCTTGTTTGCCGAGAGCGACAGCATACCACCCCTCCTCCACCAACAGCGCCCCCCCCCCCAACCTCCACCCAGACACCCTCCGCTCCAGCTCCCTTCCCCCCCCCCCTTCCTATCCCTTCTATCATCTTCCTTAGAGATATGAGGAGCGAGGTGCAACACTTTACTCTTCCTGCTCTCCTCCCTCTCTCCAGGCGCTTTTTGATTTCTCCTCTCACCTCCTCTTTTTCTCTTCCCCTTTCATATCCCAGAGTGCTTATTTTCTTCTGTTCGTCTCTTCCGATCGCGAGTTCTCCTCAAGGTATCAGTGTGTGGTATAGAGTTGTGGCGGAGTCTTTTCTTAAAAGTGCTAGCTCATTAAGGAGTGGGAGTGTTTGGATATGCGTAGTTTGTATTTTTAGTGTGTTTGTTTGTGCCGCTGTGCCGGGGCTGTGTTCTCGGTTCGTCTGTGTGTGTGTGTGTGTGTGTGTGTGTGTGTGTGTGTGTGTGTGGGGCATGTGTGCGTGTTGGGTGTAAAGTAGAGGTAGGAACAGTGCTGAGTCTGATTCTTTCTGTTCCACCGTGGCGTTTGGGAAGCACAAACTTTATTCCTGTACAGCAATAACATCTGTTTACAGTGTCGAACATACTGAACACCAGGCGAGGTGAAACAACAAGATGTTTAAAAATCTTTCTGCATAATGTAAGGATGTGATGGTACAGTAGATGGTGTTGGTTCAAACTTTGTTGCACATCCATGTCTTATTATAGCTGTAGGAAATATAGCATCGACATTGTGATAGCGTAAACAAACACGTAGGTTTTTCAACATTGAACGAGAAGCAATGAACACATATAAAAAAATAATAAAATGCTTGGTCCCTTAATCAAAACAATTCCCCCCCCGAAAATACAGGGCCTGACTTTTACTGCAAGTTTAAACTGTACTCTGTCCTTCCCTATTTAGAAGACCTTCACATATATTAGATGATATCCAATTAAAGGAAGTTTTAAGAATACTGCCATTTATTTAAGTTTTTCTTCATATTTGTTTTCATACTAAGAGGTATTATCCCCATACATGTATTTTAAAGTCTTCTTATTGACATTCAACCATAGTATTCAGCGATAGGCCATGAAATGTGCTGAAGAAACTGTCAAAATGTGTCATTTTCTACAGTGCATTATGTAGTTGTATGTATATGTTTTGTATTTCTCGTAAATGTTACCACTCACTTAGGAGGTTTTCCTTTTTTTCCTTTGTGTATTTGCATAAAAAATTAAAAGCGTCATATTTAACAATTTGCCCATTACACCTCATCCTGGAAATTGCTTTTAAATTGCACAGTATACTGTCAGTCTTAGACAAAATACCACACAATGACGATGGGAATTATTTCTGTGGCATGCCGTCATTCACACAGGCGGGGACACTGGAACAGCGGCAGCCTACGTGCAGTCTACAGTGAGTTCACCTTCAATGTTTTCTCTTTGTTAAGACAGCAACTGTCCAAGGTAGGAGAAGAACTAGCTCCAGAGGGAAAATGAATCAGTCCTGTTGAAGAGTAGGGGAGTTATTATAAGGGGGAGTCAGTAATGGAGGTAAGGTTTTTTTTACTTTAGCTAGAACTTTCACAATGTTATAAATATTTTGACATGTAATACCCTCTCATATATTATTTCCAAAATAGTAAAACCACAGTAGTGAGTTTAATTGTTACATTTGATGTTTAATAATAATATTTATGTTTAAGGCCCAAACTATACACGCAAAAATGGGCCTGAACTGGCACTGGGATGTAAATAACCTCGGGCCCTGTCGGGTTTTGGCCGAGTTGGCAGCCATATATTAACGAGGAGACTCAAAATGGATATGTCTGTGTACCCAGTTGCTGTCACCTTATCTCCTGACAACAGATCGTTTTACACACACACACACACACACACACACACACACACACACACACACACACACACACACACACACACACACACACACACACACACACACACACACATATACACACACACACACACACACACACACACACACACAAGTTTAGTTGCCCCAGCTCAGCTCTGCACCCCAGCAACAGGCTGGCAGCTCCCAGTTTGGAGGTCTGTCCCAGTGTGAATATGTGTGATTTTGTGTGTGTGTGTGTGTGTATGATAGAGCCTCCACCATGAATATTTCAGCCTTGACCCAGTTCCTCCATGCTAGGGATGTCCTGTCCTCACCAGAGGAGACGTGGTGTCATATATTCCAGGTGGTTAACTGAGTCACTGTGTGCACTGTGACATATCAACCCACTTCCACGTAATTCATATGCAATCAGAATTATACTGTGTGTCAACCAATACTGTGCAGGCCTGTTCAGTGATGTATATTCATTACAGACAAAATGCCTCCAAGTCACTTCTATTATATTCATATAATACATGGTATATAGTGGTCCTTTGACTTACTTACAGTACAGTACATAAGTGTGAAAGACACACCGACTCTCCCTGACTTCTGAGATCATAGACTATGCACACATTCTTTAAGATGTGTACAACACACACGCACAAACACACACAAACAAACATGATACAATGAGATGCCTTAAGGTCTATCCTGTATGTGCAGAGTCTTCCTGGAAAGAGGAAGGTAGCAGTAGCTGGCAGGCTCGCTGCTCCGGATCGATCGATTGTGGACGCCTCCTCTCCACTGTGTTATTTTATCCTTCACTGAGCTCTGTTCATTTGCTCTGCTGTGTTGGTTCAATAAATCTTATATCATCTTTGTTTTCCCCCCATTACAAATAGACGGTTCTCCTTTGCCAGGTCGGCCACAGTATGTCGACTCGTCCTCAGCAGTTATTGTCTTTCCAACGTTATCTGGCAGGCCCATCTGTGAGCTGGGGGAACAGATTTAATAAAAGTGTGTGATATGCAGACAATAAGACAATTATATTTACACACACACATAACACATGCAAATATACAATGTGCTTTGAAACAATACATGAATGCATACAAATGCTCAGATATACACACTGCACCCCTCCCCCTGATCCTACACACACACACACACACACACACACACACACACACACACACACACACACACACACACACACACATATGCTATAGCTGACCTGCCATAAGCCCCATTTAGGTCACATTCTGCCTGGCCACAGGTGGTCTTCCTGTCACATCTAGTGGACCATGACCGTGAAGGATTAGTCTGGAAAGGTAGAGTAGCACAAAACACATTTTATATTAGACAGGAGACTGAAAAGCTTATGTTTCAATAAAAACAAGAGAGAAAGGTGGTATGATGTGGGACTGTAATGTAGGAGAGGAGACAGAGTTTTCTCTCTGTCCACCAGACTCCTACAAACAGAGGGTGCCAGGCTTGCCAGGGAAGCTGTCACTGCTGACAACCCCGGTGCCACCCGCCTCTGTTTGTGTTTTATTCCCCTGCTTCCTCGTCATGGCAACCTGCTAAGTTTCCTCACCATCCTTCTCGTCCCCGGTCTCTTCTATCCACCTCGTTGCCTCTTTTTCTCCATGTAAAGTGATTCTCCAGGTGAAGGTTGGCGTTTTGGAAGCTTGTGGACTGGCAGTCGACTGGTACGCGGTTTCTCCTTGAACCCGTGCTCACCCTAGGGACTGAGGCCCACGGGGCTCTGGAGGCTCAGCGTGGCTTATGTCCAGCATCTCCTCATCGAGTAAGACCGCCGCTTGGCCACACTTAGCGCTCCAAGCTCCAAACAAAGGCTGCCATGTCCTGTAAAGACTGTCACAAGCGGTTAGGAGTTACATTGATGGCTGATTAATTTCCCTCAAAATTTGGGCACAAACCAGATTTGCCTATGGAAAGAAATGATATGACCTTATTTTCCACCATTCAGCAATTTTCCACCGTCTGGGTGTGTGCGGTATCTGTGGGTGTGAATGAGCAGTACATGACAGTTTGATTTACCTCCTATTCATCAGTGCAACAGTGAAAACTATTAATTTGTTTCAGTCTGTTTGTAGTGCGTTGTCTGTCCATGTGTGTATGTATGTGTGTGTGTATCTTTGGAGGTGTGTGTTGTGGAACAGAAGATCACCTTGACTGTGGCCAGTCAGAGAGAGCCGTGGGCACTAAAACTGAGAAGGAGGGGTCGAGCTGGCTCCCAGAAGGCCGTTCTGTTCAGCACAGCCGTCTGCAGCCCCCCTTTAGACTCTCTCTATCCCTCTCTTTCTCTGTCTCTCTCTCTCGCTCACATGCACTTACACCGCCCCCCCCTCCAGCTGGGAGGTCCCGGGAGGTAGTGAGGCTCACTGACTGATTAGGTCCCAGGTAAAGCACTGCCCGGGAGCCTGCTATGAAGCCAAAGTCAATGACTATGCTCACACGTGCACACACACATGCACACGCACACCTACTGTACACTGCTTCCCATGTCTTTTACAGCACATGCACACACACACAAAGACACACAGACAAGTGCATGCCTACTGTCTCTATCAGACAGCTGCTCATGCAGTCTGCTCACCACTGGGATTTCCCTGTATTGTATATGATATAATGATATTATTCCCTCTATTTGTTGGGTAGTTAGGCACCATGCCAGGCGGCTCACTTATGAAATTGGGATAAAAGCACAATGTTATTTCAGGATACGAAATGGCTATGGAGTGGCACTGATAAAGGGTCTTATTTGGACCCTCTGCATTTTGTATCTCCCCCTGTTTTATAATAATAACTTTTCTCTTTCTCTTCTTGATGTCCTCTTCTCAAAATGATCTTTACAATAGTCTTGCCTTTAACAAAAGCCCACATTTATAAACCATGCACCACAGTGCAAATCAGGAAGTTGCTGGACAATAGCAGCACTCCCCTCCAATCCACAGGCAGTAAAACGTCTGTGATTCTATTCTCTGCTCTCTGCCATTTTACAGTCTGTCAGTAGCTCTGTAGTTCGAAGCCTAGACCGGAACCCTCCGATGCTATTTCCAGCACTTTTCTGAAAACCCGCTATTGTGGAGGTATAATTACAGGCCTATATGCTGTGCTTAATTCTCAAACAATAGGGTATACTTTTACACAAGGACATGAAATTACTCTCCATTCAGAACATGCTTGACTACACAACAGAGCTCTTCATGTTCAGAGGGCATTTATGCTGTTGTAACGATGCTGTGCAAAAGCCAGACTGCAAGTCTCTTCCTGTTGTTCCCTCTCATTACTTTAGTGTTCTCTTAACACCACACTGTTGACAGCAATGATGAGTCAGGTAGTACGATTATTTTTCCTCTATCTGTGTATCGACTGTATATTTCTTCAATCCAACTGTTAAATGTCAGAAAAAAGGATGGGAGCGACCTAAGTTTTGTGTGTTTCGGGAAAATAAATCCAAGTTGCAAACGTCAGCAAGCCTATGTGGCAGATTCTGCTTTTTCTTTTTTATTTATTCCCCTTTTTTTAAGTTTCATTTATGAAAGTTTACAAAGTTCCCTGATTAGTGACCACAAGCAACTGTCACTGGAATTAAATGTCTCTTTTACATTCGATTGTTCTCACTGTCTTTCCTCAGATTTTTCCTCATACCGCAGCTCTGTTGTCCCTCAGTGGTCGAAGCCGTGTGTCTGACAGTGATGGTGTTGTTCCTCCGTTCTCTGTCGGCCTTCTCCTCCGACAGGCACCCAGCTCCTGACTCCTAATTGGTGGTAATGCTAGCAGCATCTGGTTCTGGTGAGCGTCTTTGTCGACAACGGCGGTTATCCAGCCTTTTGACAGCTGGTTGCCATAACGTCATCACCTTGGCGACAGGCTGGACTCTGGCGCTGTTCTGGAGTACCTGCCACTCAGCATTACCAGCCGCCCTCACAGAAGAGACAGGGCATTTCATGCATCCAAGAATTGGGGCAGTTTTGAGAGTGAAATTTGATAATAAGCTTATTTCAGCCCCCACCACAACACAAGACAGCAAACAGCCCTTCCAGCTCTCCATGACTAACCCCAGCCTGTGGAAACAGGGCTAATATTTGAGTGGATGAATTATACGGCCTGTTAACTTTAAAAGATTCTGTCGACAGCGCGTAGTGTCAGAATGCCATTTCATTTCTCAACTTTTCACTGTAAGATTCCAGCATTACTAACGATAGGGAAAGCAAAAGCCTTGTTGGCCTGGAAAAGAGAACAGAGGGGAATTAGGTCTTTGGGAATTCTCTCTTTTTCCCTCATCTCTCTTTCGAACCCTTACACTCTAGTCCTCTCCTCTCAGCTCTCTTCATACCCCTGTGGCCACAGCCATAGTATTCCAGGAATACTCAGGCTCCATGCTCGTTTGTGTCAGTGCAAGATACTGGTGCATCTTCTGCAGCTGATGAAGTCATTGTTGTCTGGCAACAATGACTGTATTTGATGCTTTCTGTGCACTGAAATAACAGAGTTGGTTCAAATTAAACTACTGGATGATTTGTTTAAACAATGGAATCAAACAAAAGCCTTATGTTCGTGGGAAAAAAACATTGAAGCTGTCTTTAGTGACGTTGAACATTCACTCAAGACATACAGTATGTTATTTATTTGCATTCATTATATTTTTCTGCAATTTGGCCAGTTTTGGTTTGGTTAACACTAGAACCGCCATCGGGTCAATTTGACCCACAGCTGTTTTTTTATTGTATGTAACTTTTTTTCAATAAAATATTAAAGTCTCCCAGTCCGTGACTTTTCCTGAAAGTGTGTTATGTAGCACCCTCTGTTGTTAAAAATTGCCATTTATACCTATTTCCGCCAGCGGGTCATATTGACCCCACCCCTTTTCGCGCTATTGATTTCGCGCGTAAACATAAACATGACGTGATGCTATAGCAACGCCTTTTGTCTACTGCGGTTCCTTATAGATTGAGAAATAGATTGAGAGAGAGAGAGAGATAGATAGATAGATATATTGATAGATAGAGAGAGAGAGAGATAGTTATTAGTATACGTTCGGTGTTATCTTCTGTTCAATTATATAAAATACATTATTATGTTATATTATTGTCATGTTGTTTTTTTTTTATGAGTAGAAGGCTATCAGACGATATGAACCATTTTACCTTTACGAAAACACAAGTCTAACACCAAGCGTTTAAATCAGCACTGACTCACTGTTCAATAAAAGATCATTTTACCTTGAAAATCAATGCATTCTAATAGCGGGTCAATTTGACCCGGTGGCGGTTTTAGGTATACAAAAACCTCTGGCGGTTCTAGTGTTAAAAGTGAAATATTAAATACCATTTAAATCTGAAAAACAAAGTTACAAGCATAAACCATTATATGTGCTACCGCTTGGCCCAAGGAATACATCCAGACTGTTTACACACTACTTTAGCAGGATATGAACAGAAAATTCATCAAAATCAAATCAGAAGAAATACAGCCACTACCCATTTCTGTGATAAATAATGTATGGACACACGTCTTTACTCATATTTCTACCAGGATTGTCAGGAGTTAGACAAACATAGACACATAAAAAAAACTTCATAAAGTAAAATAAACATGCACCTTGGTTCCTGCAAGGTGGCACTTATTTCCACACATCACATCATATTTGCTGCTATTTCATATCCACGCATGAGCAAACACAGTGCTGGCCATACAGGAGAGGAGGCGGCAGAGGAGCAAACAGCACGAGGGCACCGTGTTCAAACTGTGGTGACCAGTGGCTCCTGCCTGTCCGTGGTCTCGCAGCGTTGCCTCTGCCCCAGTGGCTCAATGCAGGTATTCACTAACCGGATTCCAGTGGCCACCAAAATATCTAGCCCAAATGGACACATTGACTCTTCTAGGTAAATAGCGGCCTGTGCCAAAATCTAAAACGTTATGGCCTCTCTTTCTCTGTAAATATCTCTGTCTCATTTTCTAGCACTCTCTGGCTTTGTTTCCCTCTGCAGCCTTTGCCAGCCTAAAAATGAAAATGAGCATGCTGTGTAACAGACCTCACAACTCACATCCTGGAATTAAATGCTCCCAGTCAGTAATAAATGTAAATGCTGTGTTGGCGCTATTTTCTTCCATGAAAAGGAACTAATGATGATTTGGGGGAAGGTTTACTTCAAACCTAGGTTTCTAAAAAGATTAATCGAATGACATTATATTGTGAAAAAGAACAAACATGTTAAGCAAGAGAGAGTAATTTCCTTCCTTTATTGTTAAATTGTGTAATTATTGTTCTACATTTAGTGTCTCACCTAAGCAGCTGTAGAAAGCTCCAGGAGACTTGATGATTTTGCACACTTTTAGCAGATACAAGAGGCGAGATGGGGCTATGGAATCGACAGACAGCTCATGAGAGACCAAACCACAGAGAGAGAAATCAAATCTAAGCACAGAGCGAAACCAGACAGCCCATCTCCCTGTACGCCTTGGCTCAGATTGCACTTATTGTTTACTTGGCTATTGAACTGATTGGTTTTATTGGTTACAATCCAAGCTGGGAGTGTAATGATCTGAAGTTAGATGTTTCACGGTTCTGGAAGTCTTTGTAAGTATTAAAACGTTTTTTATAATGCCCCTGCATGTAGGCTTTTTATTATTCATC